ACTTAAATAACCAAAACAAGAAATTTAAAACTAGAAACTATTCACTAATTAAATTTATTTATAAATTAAGATATTAAAACTGACAAAAATGAAAATAATACTCTTAAAATCTTCTTTTCCATCTTCAAACTTTTTTTTTTCCACCAAAAATATTTTTGGGTACCATAAATTCCTGTAAATTAATTTAATAATATGTCATTGTCTCATCAGAAAAAGAAGCCATTTGGATTAAGTTAATAAATATATCATCACTTAATTGATGGAAGAATAATAATAATAATAAAGACAATTTGTAAGTTGAGAAACCAAAATATAAAGTGTTAAAAATAGTTGTAGGGCCAAAACTTCAAAAGTTTTCATAATGAAAAAGTTGAGGAAATAAAATTAACATTAGATATTTGATTTATATGGTAATTGGGTATAGTTATTATCTGAAGGTATCTTATTTTATTGTTTGAATTATCTAATAAAATAATCATAAATATCAAAAAATTCTTCTTGTTAAATAATGAGAAATATTTTTTGTATAATTTTTTTATTTTATTTTTTTGTATAAGTTAATGTATCATTAAAATGATTAGTTATTTTAATTCATGTAAAACTCATAATTTTTAATGCATCCACTCATTTAATGATATATAAAAATTATATTAAAAAATTATTTTTATAACACCACCTTTAAATAATTAATATTTTTCGGCTCAAAATGGTCCAAATTAAAACACTTTTTCGTCGTCCAGGAAAGAAAAGGAAAAGCAAAAAATGGCAAATACAAAAACGGAAAACTATGATACCATTCTTTGAATTGATTTGATGAAAAGGGCAAAGAAAAAGAATGGATAAGATTTTCTATTCCAATCAATTTATTTAAGTATCCATTTAGCCTTAAATCTATTATTTATTACAATTATGTCCATCCATCAATTTCTCCGTTTACAATTTAGTATTTGTTGAATATTGATAATAAGTTGGTAGGTGCCTCCCATCATTTACCAAGAATCACGCTAGCCAACCTTTTCTGAATATTGGCAAGTGAAATGGTACTTGTGTTCCAATGGTTCGACCTCAATTTTTAAGGTAAGGTGATCGAAATTTCGAACTTTATTATCATTGTAAATTCTATCAAAAAGCAGCCTGATGGCCGCGCGTCTTATTTGAGAGGGTGAAATGTTCATCCGATCTAAAAACCAGTTGCTAACACTTAACTCACTAACTTTTTAACCATTTTCCTTATTAAAAAAAAAAAGAATATTGGCTAGTACCATTTGTTTTTTTTGGGTGAATGACAAGTACAATTGTTGATCGTAAAAACCAAAATAACAAGTACTTTTTTTCACCAAATATTAATATTAACATGAAAATAGATTAAAATGAGATTACGGGAAATACCAAAAATATATATAATTTCTTTTTTATTAAAAGTAGATTTCTTTTCATTTTTTATATTGAGAAGTTAACTACTTCACATAATAGATATTTGAATTTTACAATGGGTATAAATTCCACCAAACTTTTATTATAGAAGTAGATGTCTTTTTTTTTATTAATTTTTTGATATTCAAAGATCATATTAAACTCTAATTAACTTGAAATTGAATCACATCATATCTTATAAGAAAAAAATTTTATAAACACTATTTTTTTGTTCACAATACATAAATTTAAAATTTTATTAAAAAATTTTAATTCTTTTTTCAGATCAATAGATGGTTGGTGAAATAGTTGTCCTCGGTTCAAACTTCAAATTATAATGGAATAAAAATATATTAAAAAAATACAAACACACTTCCAATTTCCAAAGTTAAGGAAATCGTAACTTAGTGGTAGACCAAATAACTCAACTGTAATCAAATGAAAATCGGGAGACTCAATTTAAAGAAGAGCAGTGCTGGGGTACTCGCCTCCTGCACTCTCCGGTCA